ATATATATATATATATATATATATATATATATATATATATATATATATATATATATATATATACATTTAGAATTATATTGCTACTATTTCGATAAAGAAATAGAGTTCACTTTTTATTCTTATTTCGGAAGATTTCTTTTCAAGTAGCCATAATAAATTTCTAAATTTCCATTTTCTTTTCTACTTGAACAATTGCATAAACGTGTAAGAGCGATCTCATCAAATCCTTAAGATTTGTTGAACTTTAAGGTCGTCATTAATCTTACGCGAGAAATATTCGCTATTAGAAAACTTGTACGGAAATATCCAATGTGACATAAAATATCCTGTCTCGTTCCTCATACACGTAAACTTTGACCTTATTCTCAGGCACGCGTTATCTTTTTTTATGGATATTTTTACACTGCAGATCTTGGCGATTGCCAATCTCGCTAAGAGTTACTCTCATATAAATCCTATATAAAAATCCGACAATCCAATTATGCTATTATAAATTATATCAAAATCGCATCTAAATGAATTTGATTATGAGAAAGCGTATAATAATCCTTCCTTGATAATCCTAATTAAACATCACCTTCTTATTCGTTCAAAAAGTTGCTGTCGTTCCATTTTATCTCCCCAATTTTCGAGACCAACCGAGATTCCCAAGCGAGCAAACGATCTCAATGTACGATGTGGACCAACAGCTGACGTACGAAACAAGCAACTCGTTACAGGGATGCAAGGAGCCCTTTTAGCCGCGGGAGCTCTCGGGGGAGAGCTTTTTCAGCGAAAGAGATTTTTTCGCGGAAAGCTGTCCCAGCGTTTTCTCAGGAGAATTGTCATTCGTTTCACGCCCACGTATTACGAGGCTCCCTTACGCACCCTATGCGTACAACGACGAAGGGCCAAGGACAGGATTAAACGCGCGGGTCCATTCTCGCGTTCTACAAGCTCGACTATTCTCGTGAAGAAAAATCGATTGTCAAACGTTTCACACGAGGAAAGTTATGCTTTCCACGTCGTATGCTCTTCACCCTTCCGCCCCCGAAAATCCGAGTGCGCGTCTATTTCATTTCGAATGCAGAAAGTTTCAAGAAAGTGCCGCCGAAGATGCCCGCGGAGATTCATTTCTTTACATTTTATGTGCTAAAGTAAAACACGCGCCTCTTATTTCGTTAATACCGATTGCACAACGCACTTATTTGTGAGTGCACGTGAGTGTGTAATCTATGAAGCACATTTTAATTCACAAAATTCAAATATGAGTCATATACCATAAATGGCCTATTTTTGCATTTTAAACTCAATTCGTTTGAGATTAATACTTGTCAGAGATAATTAATCTTCGCGTAATACCATACAATTACGTTGCGAATGAAAATTCCATTAAAGTCTGGAATAGTAATTGAATAATAATTTTCGTCGGATACGCATTGTGAAAACTTAATTACCCGCATGAAGTTATTGTTAATGCATCTTATGGGAGTTAATCTGTGTGATTATTGAACTGTGCAAATTGATAATTCTGAAACACGCTGTATATAATATAATATATTAATATAATAGTCGCGCCCTTTATTCGGATTACAAATTCTCTTGCTCCAGATTTGTTCTAGACTACACATTTAGGATAACATATAACAGATAGCTATTTTTTTTTTTTTAATTATCATCATTATTCGACGTCTTTTGTTTTACGCGGTTATGAGTTCTATCTCGGATTTGTGGAATATTCCCTCTCTCTCCCCGTCGCTCTCTTTCTCTCTCTCTTTCTCTCTCTCTCTCCTCCCCCTCTGTTTCATGCTGAATAAAGAATCGCGAGATAGCGACGAAAGCGCGTATCAGCGTGCAAAAAGAAAGTGGCGAGACTCACCGAAATACTTGTCCGGCTCAAGACCCGAGTCCTTGTCCAGGCCGCATATGACAAAATAATCCGCGAATCGCTGTGGATGTTGCTCCGGACCGCGCGTTATCCCCAGACTCCCGTTCATCTTTCCCGACGCGGATTTGCAGCAGCAGCAGCAGCAGCAGCAACAGCAGTTGCGACTCGCTGCCGCTCACCACGGGCTACCTCGACCACCGCCGCCGCCGCCTTCACGAAATTGATTTCCACATGTCGCACACCACCGACGCGGTACTGTCACTTCACTTCAGCCGAAACAACAGCTGAGCGAGCGCGCTGCCGTACGACACGACGCGCACGGAACAACGCACGCCGTGCACTCTGTGGACCAGGGGACGGAACGGAACGGGATGGACGGACGGGATGGGACGGGACGGGACGGGACGGGACGAAACGGAACGGAGTAGAGCGGAGCGGTGCGGTGCGAACGGCCGCGAATAATTGATCCCTCGCTGCGGCGCTTGAAGTTGGCCGCGTGTCGAACACGCCGCGTCGGCGTCGTGTCATGCCAATTGGAGAGAGAGGCAGTCCCAGCGCCACGGCGTGATTTAGCGCGTGATTTAATTTCGGAGCGGGAAAGAGAAAAATGCCATTCCGCGGGATGAAAAATCCTTTTGGAAGTGGAAATTCGAGTTGATATTTTCAGAATTAGAAAAAATAACGAATAAATTAAGTCGAAATTGAAATAAATTTATATTGACGGAAATAAATTTTTCACTTGGAGCAAATCAATTTCTTTCTTATGATGGATTTTATATCATTTGTTGATAGAATCCGAGTTTGCATTATTTTTAATTTATAAATAAATTACAAATAGAAAAAAGATTTACATAAGAAAATCATACAACAAAAAAATGGTAGTAATTAACAGTCAGTCGCTGTTACGCTGTATGCGCAAAAATTTAATAAACATATTTATTTCATATCAAACTATAAAATATATAGTATAAATAAAATAGCAGTAAAGCAGTTACTGCAGCAGTACTTTTAGCATAGCAGTAAACTTTTCCATGTGATTTCACGTAAATACTCGTTGCCAAAGTCAATGAAATCGCGATTCGGCAAGCAAAATCTTTCCGAGGTTGTGCAGTAGAAAGGAACCCTGAACTTGACTGGAATCACAAATCTCTTCGATTGGCAGTACTGGAGTACTGAATTTACCACTCCACTTGTCAAAACACATACGCACACACACGCTGGCATACGTACGTATACGTATATATACGCGCGAGCGGATTCATGTGTGCGAGCACTGGCGAGTACTTGTCACGCTCGCCGGAAGGTTAGATCCCGATGATTAAATCGAGCCGGAGCTCATAAACACGCGATACGACGGGGCGGTAGCGGCGCCTTAGGATTTTCATCTTTTTACATAGGATGGAGGAAATCGACAATATAATAATTCACTCGTTGCGACAAATAGGCTGGTAAGTACCCGAGCTCGACGACTCTGCTCGTTCGCCGCTGCGTTTCCTCCGTAGGTGGGCGGTGTTTGAACGCCCTTCACAATCGGAAAGCAGATTACTTCTGTCTTCCAACCGGAAAGGAATTCCAGATTTAAGATACCGCTGGCTGTCTGTGATTTTTAGTAACGTTTGGTTTTCTCAATTTACAAAATAAATCTCTCTTTTCAGTGACATTGATGAGAGCATAACGAATCTAAGTGGCTTTAACACCGAATTAGTTGTGGAAGCTACTGTAAGATGCTTAGAAGCAATAAGGCCAGGCTCAGGCCTGTCCACCATACTACCTATAAATATGGCAGCGCGTTTTCGATTAGGTGCTACTCTTGCACAAACATGCACGGTAAATATCTATCCAGCCTTCATTAAATTAATTTTATATCTTTATTTGATGTCGCAAAATTCTATTGATGAATTGGAATTTTAGGAACTCGGGTACAGAGGTGACATTGGCTACCAAACATTCCTGTATAATTCAGAAGCAGATCTGCGGAGGGTGTTTATGTTTCTCATTGAAAAACTGCCAAAAGAGAGTGAGAAAACTATAAACGAATCTATCAGTAAAGTTGCTTTATTGGAGAAATCGGTAGCATCCGCGATATCCCGAGGACTCTCCATACCATGGTTGCCACATTACTGTTATAAGAAGGGATTCAGGAATAGAGGAAGAGCGAGTGTTCCTTATGTATCTGTAAATATTGAAGTACCAATAATAAATGCAGAGGATGGTAAAATGACATTAATATTACTTGAACTAGTTTTAATAAGATATCAAAAAAACTGTCGTTAATATGCGAATAGAGCATGATTACAGATGAATGATTACAGATTATAAAGATTACTATACGCGCTATTTACAACCAGTGCCTGAACAAATGCAAGACGTTTCATGCTTTTTACCTTCCATAATATCATATAATGCGAGGACACTTAATGCTTCTCCGATGAATATTATGGAGCGTATAGATTGGCTTAACAGCCAACAGTCTGAGAAAGTTGCTTATTCTAATGCACATAATATTGTCAAAGAGTTTAGCAAGTTTTCATTAGAGAACAAGATACAAATTTCAACGGTGAATATATAACAAATATATCATACGTTATATACGTTTTATATATATATATATATATATATATGTGCACTTCACTTTATATGATATTAATATATATACATATACATATATACATTTTCTTTTCTCAAATTTTTAGGAATCTCAGGTGAAATCTGAATCCGTATCGCATCCAGTGCTTCCAGATCAAGAAACATTAAAAAATGAGGCAAAACAGGAAGTCGAAATAGAAAAAATGAAAACAGAATGCGAAAGTTTTAGAATAAATATAGAAGAATTACAAAACGAGATTAAAAAATTAACCACTAGATTAGCACAAGCGATGGTAATCGGTCAGAATGAAGAAAAGGAATTAAAAATTAATGAGGAGCAAAAAAAGATCAAAGCAAAAGCATATGAATTGCTTCAAGATGGACCAGAAAATATAAAAAAATTGGAATCCGCAATTGAAGCTAGTACAAACAAATTAATTAATTTAGCAAATCAGTGGGAAAAGCATAGAGTGCCCTTAATCATGAAGTATAGGCAAGAAAGAGAGAAACATTCCACAAAAGCTGTAAGTACGCAAAATTAGCAAATTGTAAAGTAGCAAAGAAATGCTATTTATAGTTTATAAATGTTTATATTTTTATACAGAATGCGAGTCAAAAAAAACTAGACGAGATAAAATTGTTAAAAGAGAAAGAGAAAGAACTTCAGGAAGAATGTCGGAATAAAGATCAACAGTATTCACAACTGATCGCGGAAGTTCAGAAACTTCCAAAGGAAGTGAATAGATCCGCATATACTCAACGAATTTTAGAAATAATAAATAATGTTAGAAAACAGAGAGATGAAATAAGTAAAGTTCTAGCGGACACTCGTGAAATTCAAAAAGAAATCAATACGCTTACCGGGAGATTAGAGAGATCCTTTACTGTCGTAGATGAATTGATATTCAGAGACGCGAGAACAAATGAAGCTTCGAGGAAAGCTTACAAATTATTAGCGACATTACATTCGGACTGCAATGAACTTGTGAGTTTAGTCGAGGAAACTGGTGCGACAATACGAGAAATTAGAGATTTGGAAGAACAGGTAAGATATTAGCACTAGTAGAATTTAAAAAAATAAATAAATTTATGTAATACAGAAAACTAATATTTTCTTATGTAATATTCATTTATATATAAAAAAATCTATCCAGATCGATTCTGAGTCCGCTAAAAATGTCGGTGCTAATTTGGAAAGGATAACTGCCGATTTGAAACAAATGAAACAAGAAACCGCCGCATTGACTGCACAATTACAGAGTAAAGCCTCGTGATTATTATATACAGTGTTGTGCGATTATGCGAATTGTAAGCTCAGGACCAGATGAGAATCTAATACAGGTATAAAACTCATTTTTCATAATAATTTATATATAATAATACTGGAATAATGTAATTTAAATTCTCTATAGTTACATAAATTACAGATATTTTGCTATTTTACAGAATATAAACGAATATCGAATGCATCAAAGACCAAACATTTTTTAGCTATACAGCTGGCAAAATATAATGCGATATTGCCCACGAGAGTCTCCATGAATCTACTAAGTTGGCTGCTAAAAAAATGTGCCTTGGCCTGAAGTCGTCAGGCATTAGGCTTCTATTAGCCTCGGGCCAAGTGTATAATAAAAACACGCTGTTAACATCAATGCTCAAAGAGACATTATTTGTTATAAAGCCTAATAATTTTTTAGCATCGAGTTTGACTTTCGTATTTCTCGCAACTTGAAGATATGATCTGACTTACGGCTGTAAATAAGATAACTGCTAAAACGTCACTTTCGAGCAAAGAATGTGTACAAAATATAGAATGTGTGCGAATAACGATAACATCAACTTTTAATATTTTATACATATTCTCCTTAAAAATTATTTTTATAAGTTATGTGAGAGACACATATATATCATAATATCAAAGTATAATGAAATAACAATTCAGTTGATTTTTTTTGTTCTAATCCTGTATGCATAATATACTTGTCCTATCTCTTTATTTTTTACATTTTATTTTTTATGTTTTATTTTTAATTTCCGGTGGTACATAAGATTCAGTAGCAACCAATTGTCTTAATTTCTTTGCACTTTTAGGCATGGCACGGATACGTTCATCTTCTTTACGTTCTTTTTCTTCTATTTTTTCTATCTTCAATTCAATTTCTTCCTCTTTGTCGAAGAAAGTCAAAAGTTGTTCTTTTTCTTCTAAATCCTTCTTTATTTGTTCTATCTTCTTAATTCTTCTTTCTTTATCTATTTCTTTCATTTGTGTTTCTAGTATTGAAACTCTCACACGTTCCCAGTCAAGATAAGCCTGAAAATCCAGAGAGTTTAATGTTTACAATTTATTAGGTATGGAGTACTCAGATATAAACATTTTTTTCTGTCTTCATTATTACCTGACATTGTTTAGAAATATCCTTATCAGTTTCTTCATTTACAGTTGTTTTAATAAGATTTTCTATCGCTTCACTTAAACTTTCTTTAAGATTTTGTTTTTCCTTCAACGCAGACAATTGAATTTCTACAAGTTTAAATTTTTCAGCATCTTGATCTTGAAGATTACTGTTGTCTTTTGATATTAACTCAAATACTTCATTATAAACTATTTTGTTTTGCACTGTTTCTAACCATTGTTTTATTAAATTTAATGCATCGTCATACTTCTTATACAATATCAAACCTCTCAACTGACATGTTCTTCCTACAGCATCTGCCCTATGCTTTCCCTGAAAACTTAGAGTCTTGCCAATGAGATCTCTAGGATCAGTAAGATCAAAATGATCATCAAAGAACGGATTTCTTAAATATTTTACACGTATCTTTACTTCCTCCTTGGAAGTATCTACTGGAACCTCAGGTTTCTTCCAATCATCAGGATTTTCCAAATATTTATGACATGCATATAAGCATAATGCATTGGTAATAGGATGATCTGAATCTTCCTGCAGCATAACCAAGGTTGCTACTCTAGCGGCAGAGGCGTAATCCTTCTTCTTTATAAAATGATCCATGAGCATGTTGTAATCAAAATGATCAGGAAAGACACCATAGTTGAGCCTATCATTTAGCACCTCGTGCAATTCCTGAATGTAATCATGTTGCAAGAGATATCGTATTACGGCGTGGTGTGTGGAATCAAGCATGTTCGTCGTTTCCACGGATCGCCTGAAGTTGTATAGAATTTTTATCACTTCGTCGACGTACGTATCGTCGGTGACACTATTGACGAAGATGTCAACGTCGACGGCGCTCACTTTGCCCACGTTGTTATACTTTTGCTCCAATTCAAGATACATCGTCGTCGGGTCGATCTTTTGCAGCAGCGGCGACTCCAATCTGCGATTCCACGCTTCCTCGCAGCGATACGCCTCCGATAAGAATAATCTTCTCTGCACTTGCATTGCAAAATTCTCAGATCTACGACGGAGCCGATCGAGCCTGTGACTAAGTCTGAGCAGTTTCAGCATTTTGTATTATTAAATTATTAAATTATCTTTCGTTTTAAGTGATCACATAACCTCCGTGTACACCGGGTGACAATAAATAACCTCTTTTTGTCTCAGAATCTTCGTTCTTAAAATATTGTGTTCCCGCGACAGATTATATTGCCAAACTTACTTATCAGTATAGCCAATAGAAAATTTTTTGGAACTAGAATGAATTCCAATCGGAATTGTTTTCCAGTTTTTCTTCTCGATTCCATCGTCTTTTCATTCACTATTCATTTCTATCAATGTAGATTAACCTTTAATCTCGATTTCCAAGATGATGATTATTATTTGCTGAAATTCTCTTTCGATCTCGACTCTACTTTATTATTATTCTATAAATATATATAATTTTTAGTAAATTTCATGATATAATAATATAATATAATAATATTTCATGATATAATTTTATGATATGATAATATTTTTAAAAATCTCAATAGTATTTTTTAACTTTCCTTATATTTCATTGTATTACGTATAACCTGATTTCTCCAATACGATCGATCAAAGAAAAAGAACAAACCTTAGATAACAGCTGACTAGGGAAATCCGATGTTTACGTTCGAGAATGATCTTTCGTCTTGCATGACGCACAGAGCATCAAATATTATTATATGCTATTCAAAACGTGACTGGGCAATGAAATTTAGACGTTGGAATTTAGATCTATTTGGAAAACTCGATTTTAGATGATCTATAAACCGAGAATCTTCAATTAACTGTGAAGCTCTCGATGCATTAACATCGATGGATTTTGCCGACGAACATGAGTGTCATGCGGAATCTAATGCAGTAACGATGCAAAATATTCTGGCATTTCATAAATTCAGACGAGAAATATCTAACGGCGTGCTATTAATTGTACATAGAGGAGATATAATTTTCGACTATGTTATCGTCAAAGCGTGCGGCGTATATAGATATTCCGAATTCAAGCAAATTTTGTCTGATCATCATTGTGAAAATGAATATAAATACAAACAGTACACCTGGCTGTGCAAAAAAGGACTTAATTCATATCTCGTCTCAGCATACATTACAATGCTAATAAAGTCATATGTTTATCGTAGGAGCGCTATGAAAATATTGCTACATTTTCAAATTACATGGAATTTATATGATGTAGAAAATTTGCAAATAATATTTATAAGATTGAGAACGCCAAGAAAGCAATTCCTCGATTACAAATGGTAAGCTTCATGGACACAATGTAATTTAAACTATTATAGTCTTTCTCACTTGTTGCTTTCTAGGAACGAAAAATTAATGCAAATAGTTATAGAAAGACAAGAAGCTGATCATGCTATGTCTTGGTTGTCCACGCTTGGAGGAGCCTTTTCTGCATTAGGAGAAGAATTTGAACATTGTGTAAGTTATTATTGTTATATTATACAATATGTTTTTATTAATCCAATGTATCTTGTGCACAGGCTAAAATGGCAGGTCAAATCTCAGTGAAGCAATTTGAATTAGCATTGCGTCTTGACAATCCTCTCCTTGTTGCCCGTTGCAAACTATATGCTGCTTTAAGCTTGATCCAATGTGGTCAATTTATTGCACCAAAGTATATGATACAAAGAATCTACAAATTTGCAATTAAAGAAAAAGATGTGCGTCTCCAGAACATGTGTCGGGGTGTATGGGCAAAATTGCAATACAATTACAAACAGCGAAAGAGATCTTTATCATTTAAAACTTTGCATATAACTTCAAAAATTTAGGAAATACTAGGCATTTTTGTAAACATGTTGACAATATATTATTTTAAATATACAACCTCCTAGAGTTTCTCGAATATTATTTTTTTTATTTATTGAATTTTGCATTTGAAGCTCATATTTACGCGAAAAATAGGCTATAATAAATTCAAGACAACTTATTGAGCAAAAATTTTTAATCATATCGGCAAGTCTTTATTAAATTTTACATATCTATTTATATATTTATATTTATATATATATATATATATATATATATATATATATATATATATATATATACTT